CCCGCCGGTGCTGCAGCGGCTGCGCCCCGGGAGACCCCCGAGAGCCTCGCCCTGCTTGCGGCTGTCACGGCTGCGCCCCGGGAGACCCCCGAGAGCCTCGCCCTGCTTGCGGCGTCACGCTCAGGTCTCCGAGCCTCGGAGCTAATTTCGCACATCGCGTCCTTTTGTCTTTTCAGTGCTGCGACCTTGGCTACCACGCAAGTCTGAACAGAGCCCTGAGAACGTACCTGTCTGCAGAGTACAACCTGGAGACCTCGAGACACGAAGGCCTGGACATCATCGAGAACGCCGTCGATAACCTGGAGCCCAGGAGCGACAAGCAGAGGCTCTTGGAGATGTTCCCTGCTGCGTTCTGTCCCCCGCTGAAGTTTGAGTTTCAGTCTCACATGGGCGACGAGGTCAGTGACTCCTGCGGAGTGACCAGTACTTTCACTTGCAGCTCCCGCCCCTCCTCCTCCCTGACGCGGGGCCTGGGCGCAGACTGCCCTGCGACGCGGCGGCGTCCGTGCTCCAGAGCCAGGGAGGCGTTCGGACAGGGGCCGGCCAGGGCGGGCTCAGCCGGTAGCGCGGTCCTCTTCCTTTCCAGGCCATCCAGGCTCTTTCACTCATCTGTTTATTTGGTATTTAAGTGACACATACCCAACACCGTGTAGGATTTCGGAGACCGGTTGACACCTCTTTAGAGATCAGGACATTCAAACTTAAATTCAAAGCAGAAGAAGACATTTTGCTGCTCTAACAGAATCTGTCGGAAGAGTGAACTGTACTTTCACTCGCAATCCCGATGTAAAGATTCCCTTGAAGAAAAGCAAATGGACGGAAAGGTAAATGACAGAAGGAAACAATGCAAGACAGCTTCAGGCTCAAGCGGCCCCAGACTGAGGAAGCGAGCGCCGGAATGGTCTGTCGGCCCTTAGCTCCCTGGCGGCGCTCGGCCCCCTGCGGTGAGTCTCGGAGGCCTGCTTATTGTCTGCGGTCAGGAGCCGGCCAGTGGAGGGCGCTGACGGTGCCACTGTGTGCCACCTGTGCCAGCTGGGCAAAGGACGCCAGAGATTAAAGCTGATTTTGGCGGCTGTGGTGGCGGCGTGTTTTCAAGCATTGGTGTCGTGCGAGGTCCGTGCGGATTTCTGTAACGTCAGACTTTTTCTGAACCACTTGGTGCGGAGACTTGTAGCGGCTCCACCTGTACCTGTACCTGCTGTGTTTCCAGTCCAAGTCGTTTTGCTCCACCGGATGGAGTCGCGTGATTAGAATGGCCGCCCTTTTTCCAACAGCCCAGGAGTGTGAGGAACTGTGGCTCCTTCCGCAGCCACGAGCTTGCCGTCGTCTCCAGCGAAGCTGCGTTAAAGCGCTGAGTGGGAAGCGCCGGCCTGCACCGCCG